TAATTGAACAGCATTTAATGAATCAAATGTTGATAGATCAAATAATGATTTTGAATGATCATTAAACAATTGCATGGGTTTTGATACGATTGTAGCTGTTTTTGTTTGTAAATAATTCCGAATTGCTTCACCCGTCCAACATTGCTGTTTTTGCTTTTGTTCTTGTACGATCTTTACATCTTGAAAACTAGTATACATTGAATCAATTAAATCCGCAAATTCGTTAATAACAGCTTTTCGTACTACATTCCCTTTATGAGTAACTGAAATTATTTTTGATTTTGGAATTATGCGAATCATTTCTCTCACTAAACGTGAATGTGTTGGCGCATTTTTATTAGCTTCTTGTACAGTCATCCATATTTGTTCTTCACTTTCATGAGATTCATAATTAATTGCTGTATCAGGATTCAGCTCAATAAGTGCACCAGTACAAAAACGTTCATGACCTATAACAGCTACTTGTTTAACAATTGAACACTTACGTATTTCAGATTCAATTGGAATTGGATTTGTCTTTTCACCATTTATATGTACTAATATATCATCTTTTCGCCCAACTATAGAATAGTGACCCAAATTAGATAAATCTTCTATGAATAAATCACCAGGTGTATAACCACCACCCAAAACATTTGACACATTAGGGGGAACAAATGGGTCATTTGGTAAATGAATGAATTCTTTTATATTGGGATCATCTGACGTCGAAACAACTTTGATAAATGGTTTACGAATTTCAGGGATTTCCATCCATTTGTAAAGTTTATTTTGTGGATAAAAGTTTTTGATCAATGATGCACCAGCTTCTAAAAAAGCAACAAGGATTAATAACGAGAGTAGACTGAGAATTCTGTTCTCAGAAATGTTCAATCCAATTCATATAGGAAATTGACCGTCTGTAGATTGTACAAGTGAAGGGAAAAGTTCTTTTATTCGTTTACTGCACACTTACATTCGTCTTCTTCACGAGTAAAAACTCCCATAGAAAAAACAATAGTGTAAAAATTAGTATAGACCTATGTTCGAGTCCTGCGGAATAACCCTGAATCTGACCAAGTCTGCCCCATAGGACGCTCAGGCTGGAGTGAAAACATATCTTTACCCGTGAAGAGCAAGAACGGTTTGTACCGCGGGAGTCTATCCTACGCTGTGAAGTAGAATTCCTTCCGTTGCTGTGTAGCAGAGGTGGGTGATGGACTGTTTCAGCTCTCTCGCGGGCTTAGCCTCGTGCAATTCTTGCTTCGTCATCACCCCGTATCTCGTCAAGCTTTTAAAAATTCTTCCCCGCCGGGATCGCCCGTACGCTTTCTGTCTCACCACCGCCTCGCCCATCGTCAACTATTGGTAAAGTTTTTTGCCGACACTTCTTCATCAATCCTCCTGAGTCCGGTGCACTAAACATTAAGATGTTAATAGTAACAAATTGCCGATGACCAACCCTGTGTATACGTATGCGCAAGAAAACGAAAGAACAACAGAACGACAGTAGAAAACAAAAGAGAAAATAGATAGACTGAACAGATAGTTGTATTGACAATTAAACAAGGAGGAATAGGTCAAATAGATATACGTAGCGTATGACGGTGCTCTACTGTAATAATGCGTCAGTAATAATGCAGACCTAACCTTTTTTCAGTGTATATAACATTAAACTATATATACGTACAGGTTTTCTAAGAATAGCGAACTGACGCATTATTACAGTAGAGCACCGTCATACACTACCTATCCGAGCTGATCACCTGCATTTAAAACTGCCTGCAAGCTGCAGGCAGGTTGCAGTTTGCAGGTGAATGAAAACTTTTTCCACTGACGGCCGGCCGATAAAGAAGAATGTTTTCCTGCCTGCATTCACTGCAGGAAAAGACGTTTTTGTTTGGAGAACAAAAAGAGAGAAGAGACCAAGAGAAATATTGATCACACTGAAGATCAGAATGATCGCTTAACAAAAAGAAACCAAACTAACAGTTTTTTTGTATATCTACTAGACATTTTAAGATGAAGGAGAGAAACGTTTTATCCATAATCGCTTATATCATTTGCTACGCCATTTTCTTCTGATATAATGACTTAGACGCGTTTCTGTAGAATGACTATTCGGCTTGGCCAAACGTTACGGAATTTCGTTTTTTAGAATTTTGAACCCTCTAGTTTTTGACATGGATGAGCCTCAGAGTTAAAAATTTGATTACAAGTGTAGTTAGTGAAGTTCTAACTGCGGTGAAAATTTGAAGTCTCTTGAACAACAAGTAGATTTATGGTTGAAGTGTTATTTTCTACAGAAAACATTCGACTATAAATCGCAAATTTTCAGTTGGGCTCAAGGAGTCTTTTATTAAGGCACTTGTTCTTTTATCACTCTCTATCTCTACTAGTAACAATTAAAAAACGCGTCTAATAACAGTTTTTGATTGTTACCTTATCAAGTGATTACAAGTGTAGTTAGTGAAGTTCTAGCTGCGGTGAAAATTTGAAGTCTCTGGCTCGCATCTATAGAGAGAAAACTTGAAATTACTCACTGTTACGGAATTTCAAAAAATGGAAGTGATTTTCGAATGTTTTCAGTATAACAAAAAATGCTCCGAATGTAAATGTGCTATGAACAAATTCCTCATGACGAAGTTGTAGGTACTTATGAGAGCTATTTGAATATCTATTTGCTTTTTTTTGTTCTCACTGCCAAGTGATGAAAAGAGGAAAGAGTAGTTGTTACGGAATTTCATCTTTTTTTCGTTCTGTTTATTGTAGAAGCTTTTTCTTCTATATTTCTGTAGGTGCGTGCATAAAATAAACTGCTGGGTGATTTTTTTCGATTACTGATCATATCCATTTATTACATTAACATAAAAAAAGCACAATTTAATCACCAGTGAAGTTATCCTGTGTTTTTCGAGAAATAAAACGTAATGATTCCGCATGGGATGAACACGCTTAAAAATAGAATATTCGACTCTCAGTACTATTTGAATAATGACGTATTGCTATTTTATCTGTATCTAGTACAGTTAGTGAGTGAACTTTTTGAATAGCAGATACTGATTTAACATGAGCAAATAGAGATGTCAGAGCTTATAACAATACTGTTTCTTATTTTTCATTAACGAGGGAAGTTCCCCAACTGTTCGCTTTCCGAATGAAACCTAGTGAATACTACGTTATCGACCATGCTGATTCTGAATATGACCTTAGCCGTTCGAAGATTCGGTAATCTGGAAAACCAGTTATTCAGAAACTCTAAAAAATAACCAAAACCTTTCTTAATGAGGCGCAATTGTAGCCCGTAAATTTCTGATTAAAATGAGACATATCCTAGCTCTACATGACCTTTCCTTGCATAGTTATAGAATTTATAAGAAAAGCCCTGAATGTTCATTGTCAGCTCAAAGCTGCAGAAATAAGAAGAAATTAGTTTAGGTCTTTTCATGTAAATTCTATAACTTTGCAAAGAAAGTGTAGAGCTAGGATATCTTTCATTTTAATCAGAAATTTACGGGCTACAATTGTGCCTCATTAAGAAAGATTTTAGTTATTTTTTAGAGTTTCTGAAAAACTGGTTTTCCAGAATACCGGATCTTCGAAGGACTAAGGGCAACCCCCATGGTCATATTGGGAATCAGTATGATCGATAATCTATTATTCTCCAGTTTTCGTTTTCTATATATCTTGCACATTGAGAAACTCTTGTATTTTAGTCAGTCAAGATTCCGTTATTTTTTCTCTTTCGTCTGCTAAATGGGAGAAAAAACTTCAAAAAATGAAAGTAAGTATTTTTTCGAGCTAGAATCATTCAGAGAAAAAATAACGGAGTCTTGACTGACTAAAATACAAGAGTTTCTCAATGTGCAGGATATATATAGAAGAGAAAAATCAACAACATCGGTGATGTTGTTGTTCACCGAATATTTTCCATGTGTTCAGGTACTAATAAAAACAAACGAAAATTATTTTCCTACACTTTAAAGTGTGCTCTTTCACATAAGATTAGTTTTACCACTTCATTTAACGCTTCATACTTCCGCACTCTGGTGTACCGTTAGCTGGCAAAGCCGTATAGAATAAAGAAAACCAATGAATTTCGCTCTTATTGTATGTAATATGTTTCTTTTACTATGCGCACTACGTATGGTATATAGAAGATGACAAAAGACTAACGATAACAGCAAGAGAAAAGTACAGAATAAGAATAGTGAATCGTAACTGGTGATACAGTCTATAATTATCAGTGTATAATACAGACCAATGGTAGTCAGTAGAAAAAAAATTGTTATATCTCGCCTTAGGGTCCACCTGCAGGGCAGGGCAGTGCAGAAGTTTTGACCCTCAACCTCTGCACGTGCAGAAAAACGCTAAAGGTCTAACAGTAACAGTTGTATAAACGATTAACCCATATGGTCCACTCAGTGAATTGATCAATATTTTAATCTTAAATCACATGCTATAAACTCCATCGGTTCAATTGACATAAAACAATTAATTCCGATAAAGCTATAGATTTTCTTAATCAACTTATTCAAACATTGAAATATAACCACCAATATATAAACCTATATCACTCTAGAAAAAATGTGACTTCAATGATGTGTCTACGGAGAAAAGTGATTTTGTGTGACTAGATTGCGTCTTCAGAATAATAGACGTCTTCAATGTGTCTACTGACAGACAATGTGTCTACTGATAGACACATAGAAGTCAAGTTGAAGTCGCATGGAAGACATGTGAACGAGAAAGACGCTTAGTAGTCACATCTTCCCGCCTTCCATGTGATTCTGCTAAGTTTTTAGTGTCTCACATAGAACGTCAACGTAAGAGACCAATAAGACTAATAATTAATGTGCCCGTATCAGTGGTGAACACAATCGTCTGCTAAGCGAATAGACTGAGTTCAATCCTTGACAGGAACGAAAACTTTTTTTAATGTGTCTTTTCCCTTAGCAGTAATGGATAGTTCTTGAAACGTTTGTAGTTGAAATTAAACTTCAAATGACGAGTGTAGCTTTTCAAATGTGGTCGATAATTTGTCGATCAAGCTGGTGGAAACGAGTTGCCGTTGAGATGAAATAGATGATTGGTCCAGTAACTGTTGATTCATCTTCATAAACAGCTTGTAAATCGTTACTTTGGCGCAAATCTGCCGATCGTTCATTCAATAATTTAATATCATGATTTAAATGTATAATCATTTCATGTCGACAACATTTTAGATCTGATTTTAGATCTGAATCGTCTTATTAATTCAACTAATTAACCTTGTGAGAGATTATCGCATGATTTTTTAAAAGTATTATTTAGAGAAGAAAGATAGATGCTAAACACTCGTTAAATGAATTAGCCATCATTTGTAAAATATGTGTGAATAGGAAAAGGAAGAATACCGGGGCACGTAGTCTTATGCAAAACCTAGAATTTCCAACTGGGTCTCTAGGGTTTTTCCTTATATTTCGGTCAAATCTCATGCTGACTCAAGGAAATTTACAGGAAAAACTTAAAGGGCGCCATACATTGTTGATCAAGCGGAAAAAGTAGTCCAACAGAACACTGAGGCTTTGTGGTTTTTCAAGAGGTTTCCGGAAAACCTTAAAACCAACGACTAGCTAAAATTCACCTTTTTCGCCTTCGATTATGATTTATGAGCTGTCTTGAGCGTTTCCTGAGAGGTTTCTTGAGTCAACATGAGATATAACGATTTTAATTTTTGCTAGTAACAGGCGAAAAACGGGTTTTTCACAAAAATGTCTCTGACGAAGTTATTTTCATTTTTACACATAAAAAAAAGTTGCCACTATGCTCAGTGTAGTTGATTACCTATATTTCATGGCATTTCGAGATTCCCAGGGATGTCTGCTCGGAGATAGACACGCGCTCGGGGAAAGCGAACCCTGTTCAAACGACGATAGCTGGAGAGCTGGAAGTTGCATAATTTTATAGAGTAACGTCGGGGCTACCTACGCATGCTAAAAAATTACTAACTTTGTACGTTGGTTTTCTGAGAACGGAGCTGGTTTCCCAAAGACCCACCGGGAAAACCCTAGAGACCCACTTGAGGGTTTCAACTCACTTAAAATGAATCCAAATTGCATCAAATCTTAGGAGATGCCGTTGTATCTGCGGAAACTGCTGCTGCTGTGATTATTGATTAATGACACTCTTTGTTGAGAAATTCCTAGGAAACTTTTCCGAAAACCAGAATGCTTCAAAACTTTATCAAACTCCAAAGTAAAAGAGGAGATTCTTGAAATTATGACGTGCTTTTCGTCCACAACACCTAGAAGAATTTTCTTCACGTCTAAATCGTGATAGATGAAGAGTCTGGACAACTTTCATTTTCTAGAAAACAGTTTGGGCTACATATCCATGCGAAAAAAGAGATATATTGATTCCTATAAGTTCGAAAATTCAAACATTGTTTTCAAAAACTTTCCTCAAATTCTATCTTTGAAAAGATTTTAAACTTTTCTTTGTATGAAAAGACGGGCAGCAAGTTCTGGAATAGTGGAAATCGCTGGGCTCTGTCATCTTTTATCACGTAAGCTATTCGGGAAAAATAACAATATGTCATTCTGTTATAAAATGAAGAGTAGATGCACTTTGCTCAGGAAGTCGAAGAAGTTTATAGACAGCAGAGCAGTATCTATAAGATTTCTATATTTACCAGTCGAACCGTAGTGAGCAATAAGATTCACGCCATTGTCAACTAACTCTTGACAAATTATATCGGGACACGTTGCTCCACCATACATAATAAAATCAAATTTCATTAGTGGTGTCCAATTGATAATATCTTTATTGTTTTTCATTTCATCAATTAATTTTTCAAGAAGAATTGGTAGAGAAACTAACTTTGTCAGTTGTTCAACTTGAATATTGGCTAAAAGTGCGGCTGGTGATGGCGGATAAGTAGCGGACAATGGTAATGCAAGTGTGCCACCGGCTTGAAATACTACGGCGGTTATTGCAAATGGGAATATATGAAATCTTTAAGAAAAGAGTGCATATCTTCTTAGCAGGTTTTTTCTACTTTGCGGAACTTAAAATTCGTAATTTTTCCAGTCTAGACCGAGAATTTTCATTTGACGTCACTCTGTTATCTTAACGTCACTGCACTGACGAAATATAAAATGATTTCTAAATACAAAATCTAATGCTTCTTCACAAAAAAAACACGACGGATGTATATAAAATGTCAGAGCACAAATATATCGTTTTTTTCCTTTATACTCCAATGTTAAATGCTTTGAAAACCGAAATGCTGATAATTTTCTTCGCATCTCATAAGAAAATCTCTCAATGTGTCACTTCCTTTCTTTTCAATGTAATATAGAGAATCGTCGACGCTGAATATGAACGAAATGTTTCGTAGAACAACAACGATATTTCTCTATCAGCATTTTCTTCTGTTTTGTAAAGTAGCTATTGTTATGAAAGTTCTCATTTTCCTTCAAGTTAATACTTACAATGATCCCCACAGCAAAACTGTATCATTCTCTTTCCAATATTCACTATTTACACTCGTAAATATATCATAATAATCCAGTATATTTTTGCCCAGAAAATGTATTGGTTTTGGAAAGGATGTGGAACCCGAACTAAAATTGAAGGTGAGAGCACAATGTAGCAAATTTTTTATCTGTCTATACCTATGAAATATCATCTGAATACGATCTTCTGTTTCAGCGAACTTTGGAAATGATAGTGTTGATTGTTGCAAACTGGTGATGTCTAATTCATCTAATTTAACACTTTCTAATGTTAGATTCTTAAGTTGCTCAACTATTGACCAATATTGTTCACTTATAAATAAATGGGATGCTTTTGTTTTTATCACTAAATCTACAATTGCTGCTGGAGAATTTCGTGTACTTAATGGAAATACAGTAACGTTTAATTTCAACAATGCATACAGTGTCAATAAATAGTCAACACTGTTATTTGCTAATAGACAAACAACTGTATTATTCATTTGTGATATATGTTGAGAAAATTGTTGAGCAAGATTGTTCGTTATATCATTGACTTGTTTATATGTCAATGATGAATATTGAGAAAATTTGTGTACTGAATCGGAATAAAGAAGACAAGCTTGCTTCGGTCTTTTTAATGCTTGATACTCAAATATTTGACCGATGATTGGACTATTCATTGTTCCAAAATTTAACACTCTGATGTGATCTAAAAATGCGATGAGTACACAATTCGGCTTTTTATAAACTGCGAAAAAAAATTATTAACAATAATTTTAGCTGACTAATCTCTATTACTTGGAATTCGAAACATTAATAACTGATAATTTTTGATTGCACGAGAGTATTATGGCAAACCCACAGATGCAAAACACAAACAAACAAAAACCAGCACGATCAAAGCTGGAATCCATAGTGTTGCGATACTTCGAACTCTCACCAGGAGGCGAGTTTTACGTACACTGCTGCTGTGTTAGCAGCTTTAAGGATAATACATATAAAATATTGGCATCGTGAATCCTGTTTCTCTCGTTTACAGCGTACAGTATTTTACACTATAAAGCTATAGTATACTTTACAGTGCGAAATATTTCATAATAGCTCGTATGTGCAGTCTGCACAGTTGGAAAAGATTACATTATATAGTGGAAGAATATATCATAACTTACTATCGTGATACTGAGAAAGTTCAGAAATATTCCGAATGTAAAGTACACTAGAATTGATCAAGCTGGGGAAAATAATAATAATAATAGGCGCAACATAACATAACATAACATAACATAAGAGTTTACACGCGTTATCCGTTATAGAAAACCCGTGAAAACGGATAAAAAGCTGATCGTTTTCTATCGCGTTTAAAAAAAATGCGTTTTTCAGCCATTTCTAACTTACGCGGAACGCGTGAGCGCTGTTGTGACCAAAATTTATTCAAAAAAGAAGTCAGCAGTAGTGTACGATATGACTGATAAACTTGAAACTGCCTCCATTACAAAAGATTAAATTCTTCAAGAATTGAAATACAATCTCAACGATCCTGCAAATCTTGGGAATCAAAGATTCGTCTTCCGTTTCTTACGCTGTAAGAAATTTATTTTCTTTCGCTTCCTTCCTAGAAAATTGATTTGTGTGCTTTCATATATATTCGTCCGTCATGACTTATGTAGGTATAATATGACACTACGAATATAGAAAGAACGAAAAAAACAATTTAAAAGGATTACACCTTTTATCACTAGTGGGTACAAAAACTTACAGGATACAATCTATCAGAAGAATCCGAAAGAAATACTTCCAGACCACCAGGGATCTGTAGACAAGGACTCGAAAATGTCTTACATTTATATTAAAAATGAGCAGTTTCTACATAAAATCAGAGAAGTTCACAAGATTTATAAGCTGCCCTTCTTGGAAACGCGGAATAGACTGCGCGTGAGTATTATCTCGCATTTAAAACCCATGGAAGACTGTGTGCATAGATATGAGCTGCTAAAACAGTCGATCTGACCGAGTACAGGGGAAAACTTTACCATCCTTCCACTCAGCGCCATTTGGAAGTAGATCTATATTCTTTCTTTGACTGTAGCCTACGCACACACACACGCTTTTGAAGCACTTGTCTGATGTGAAATTAGTTCAGAATGAAGAATATTCAAATTTTAACAAAGGATAGTTACAATGGTAGTCATCAGTAAAAGTCGGGATCCTGTTCGCGGAATAGTCGGTGAATCAATAAATACAGTGGCTGAAGTATACTTCCAGACCACCAAGGATCTGTAGACCAGGATTCGAAAATGTCTTACATTTATATTACAAATTGACTCCTTTTTTGAATAAATTTTGTTCGCAACAGCTCTCACGCGTTCCGCGTAAGTACCATTATTTTATTATTTATTTTCGTATTCTTGGTAATGAAAAATGTTTTTTCGAAACGTCGAATAAATAAATATTAATCTCTTGAATGCCGTTATTTTTCCTCTTTCGCGTACAAAGGGATGCATATGTAAAAACACGATTAAATTTCTCTCTTTGCGTTCTGTTGTTTTCGTCACATATGTTCCTCTGCCACTTCCTTTTCGTTAAAACAATAGAACGAAAAAGCATATGCAACATAGTAAAATTTCCTTCATGACATCTATAGATGCCTTACGGCATTCAAGAGGTTAAAGCAAAATAAAGTATGAATTTTAAAACAGCTTCTGTTATTGGAATGATGTGGAACCCGAACTAAAATTGAAGGTGAGAGCACAATGTAGCAAATTTTTTATCTGTCTATACCTATGAAATATCATCTGAATACGATCTTCTGTTTCAGCGAACTTTGGAAATGATAGTGTTGNGTGAGAGCACAATGTAGCAAATTTTTTATCTGTCTATACCTATGAAATATCATCTGAATACGATCTTCTGTTTCAGCGAACTTTGGAAATGATAGTGTTGATTGTTGCAAACTGTTTATGTCTAATTCATCTAATTTAACACTTTCTAGTGTTCAAGAAAAAAATGTCGTGATATTGACATTTATAAAACGGTCTATATTAATGAGCATCTCACAAATTATAATAATACTTTGTACACGTATGCTCGTCAAAAACTAAATAAAAAGACAATCTTCATGCGCAATGGTAATGTTTACCAATACCTGTCGAAAGGGAACTACAAACGACTTTTTACTGTGGAGGACATCGATAATGCAACTGATGCATAAATTACTGTGACATCCCTATGACCAAGCATGAGACACAGGCTACTCTTTTATTTTCTTCTTCCGTCTTTTCTTTTCGCTTTCATATTATGTTTGATTCTAAATTTTTATTATGTAATAGCAAGAAGTACAGGCTCGACAACAGGGAAGTATGGACGACATATCCACCATAAAATCTAACATTACTATGTCTGACAGTGTACAAATTGCGTCTATGAATATAAGAAGTTTGACGTCGCAAATAGATTACGTGAATGCATATCTGGCCCTAAACCGTCCAGTAATTTTATATTTAACTGAAACGTGGTTGGATGATAGTGTTCACAACAGCGTGATAGATATTTCTTTTTATCACCCACCTTTATGTTTTGATAGAGATAGGCATGGCGGTGGATGTGCAGTATATATACGAACTGATTTTCATTCTTTGCTCCTACATGAATTTGAAGCTGCACAGTTTGAAATACTTGCGCTACGTATAACACTTAGTAATAAAATGAGTATGATTACTTTAAATGTCTATCGCTCCAAAACTACTTCTATACAGAAATTAATTAAACAGTTAGATAGTGTTTTAGAGGAAATCAGTAACAGCAAATACAAGAATGATATGATTCTGATGGTCGGGGACTTTAATTCCCACTATCAGCCGTGGTCTATTAGTGACATCCCATCGACTAAGGAAGGTATAGAACTTAATGATTATCTCGCATCAATATCTATGTATCGGGTAGTGCGTGGAATTACTAGAAATGCGTCTAGAACATGTCTAGATTTAGTCATTGCTCAAAATCCTTTATTTATACCTGATATAAAAATGGAACCAACTCTTTATCGAAGTGACCATAATCTTAGAGAATTTCGATTAAACGCTTGTCTGGACAGAAAAGACAAAATTTTTCGCACTATTTATGACTATAACGTGGTGAATTGGGCGTTAGTAAATGAGCATTTCAGAGAAATTCCAATTGACCAGCTGTTAATAATAATTCTTAATAATAATCACTACAGACAAATGTTCTTATTCATTATGATTATTATTTATACATCATTATATAAAAAGATTTTTATTCTATTTTTATTTTATTCGTCAAACATACAAAAGAAAATAGTATTTTTTTTCATATTGTCAATATAAAAAACTTGTAGTTTGCCAAGTAGAGTGTTGAATTTTTTTTTGTAATTAAATAAATAAATATATTCTTTCATCATTCTTCAGATAATCTTTCGCTCATTTCATGAAAAAGGTAGCAACAAAAATAATATTATTTGAATGACAGATTTCTACAGGAAGATCAATACTATTTTACCTCTGGAAAAATGAGTTGATATTAGGACTGTCATTCTACCAGATTTAATATTTGAAGGACAACCTGAAGTGACCTTAGTTCCGTTTTCCTTTTATATTTCTCAATTAAAGTTTTTGATTAATTGTTAATTAAAACATTCTTATTCTGATCGACGTTAACGGATTGATTATTCATTGATAACAAATAAAGTTCAATCTATATTAAAGTGCTTTTTGAAAAGCAAATAAAAGTGAAAATTTATCTGAACATCAAATTTAATTTTGAAATAAAAAGATGATGTTGCCATTTCTAGACGTTTTAACCAAAAAAGAAAATGGAAAATATGAAACATGTGTTTATTGAAAGAGTAGAAATACGAATCTGTACATGAAAAGGGATAGCGCGTCACCACGCTACCAAAAATTAGCGTTAGTAGAATTACTGATTATTCGAGCGGTTAAAACGGGGAGGGCGGATAAGGTAGGTTTCCTGCACCCAATGGAACTGCATTTTTTCTGTCAGAAACATATCAGGGGATTGTATAAAACGTTTTCCACAACTTAATTTTTCAAAATTCTTTTGGAAAACGGTTTTTGACACCTTTGATTCCACAAAAGATTTTAGGAAAAATCTTTTTTCCCACATTTTTGGAAGAATATATAGCATATACTAGCAAGGTGGTCAAAAACCTTCGGAAATTGTTAGTGAAAAGATTGTTCTCATCCAGAGATAAAATAACAAATTATAAGAAGTTATTTTTTCGCGTGGAATTCCGTTACGCTCTATTTCGCATTTTATCTTATCAAAAATTGGTCAAAATTAAAAAAAGTTGAGCTCATTCAATAGAGCTCACTGCCAAAACAATAGAAGAGACTAAATAACGTTAACAGCGCTTAGATTAAACAAACACCTTTGACTGATAAAAAATGCGCTTCAGCCGGCTGTTCGGGTCAACGTAACACATGTTATATAACTATCTGGTACGCGCTTTTAATGAAGTAATTGGTTTTCTGTAGTTTTTCACTTTAGCTCCCACGTTAGACGTGACAGTTAACTGGCCAGGCCACTCAGTCATAGTCTCTCAGAACCATAGACAGAATTTCATTCATGATTATCGAAACTAACTAGATAAAGCGATCCACGAACTACGAAGCATCAGCTACTTTTCAAGAAAGAGCTCTCAATC